ACATAAAACACATACCTTTTACCTTTGTAGATATAGCTACAAATTGCACAGTAAAACTCACGAAGGAGAAAAGTGTTATAAATGTGATTTATGTCCGTATGCTTCTATATCTGCGCGGCATCTTGAAAGCCACATGTTAATTCACACCGATCAGAAACCATATCAATGTGATCATTGCTTTCAATCATTCAGACAAAAACAACTCCTCAAACGGCATTGTAATCTGTACCATAATCCTTCTTATGTTCCTCCACCTCCACAAGAGAAGACACATCAATGCCCTGAGTGCGAACGACCGTTCAGGTAGGTAAACATGTTAACGAGACTGGAGAAAGGTTCTATAAATAAAAACTTCTCCCTCAGACATAAAGGAAATCTTATTCGACATATGGCCGTTCACGATCCGGAATCATCTCTTCAAGAAAAACAGCAGGCATTGAAGATGGGGAGACAAAAAAAGATTCAGATCATAGATGGACAAAGGGTCGAGGTCATGACAGGTAACATATTGTCGTAAGAGTATAAAGGCTGGATTAAAAAGATTCACATATATGTTTACAATCGAAATTTGTTCAAATTTTTCATTCCGTCGAGATGATATTTACGTGTTTGAAATGAACAAAGTAACACCGTTTACACATATACGATGAATGATTGACTGAACGATTGTAATCACAGGGACACTTACGATATGATCTGACCACAGATCATTGACTAATATCCGAGTGTTATGTTGTGATAACAGGTGATTTAGCTTCTAAACTTAAAGGTTACGAAGAAGAAGAAGAAGATGAGGACGATATGATGGCTGTTGAAGGAAGCGACGGCCAACAATACGTCGTGTTAGAAGTTATACAACTTGCTGACAATCAAGGAAACGATCAGGTACCCGTTAACACGATTCCAAATGTTTCACGTGCCGACGTAAATCTGATTCTTTCATTTCTTTTCAGCAAATGGCTGTCGTAGCAAACGAAGACGGAGACTTGATGGTGCAAGATCCTTTGAGTCAAGGAAGCGATCTTGTCGCTGGTACAGAGGAGGAAGAGGTAGACATGGATGAGATTAAATTGGAAAATCCCAAATCTCAAAATACGCAGAGTGACCCGAAATTGCAGAAAGAGATGGAAACGTGCTTCGGTTTCGACGAAGTAAGTCGACTGTTCTCCCGAATCACTGTTTAAAGACAGTCTGATTGTGACACGAACGATTGCGATTGCTTTCAGGAGGAAGAGGAGGAGGAGGAAGCCAATGGCAATATGAATATATTACAGACGATTTCGTAATGAGAAGCAAGAGGACACCCGGAAATCCATCTACGTAATAGTCAAATATTTTATCTCTCTCGCAGTAGCAGCACGCGTGCTGCTGCGCGAGTGCAGTTTAACAATTATTTAAACACTGTGCATAACTCCAATGGAGCCAACTTTCTCGGGGCTTAGCGCGGCACCCGTAAATGGTACAAGAACATTTTTTGCCACTAGTGCATTAGATGTAAGTAATAATTTATGAAGGAACAGTAGTTTTGTGGTTTTGTGAAATATGCGAATGTACAATTATAATAATGTAAAATATTATTATTTTACTTTATTATCGGTAAACAAAAAAAAATAACAATTGCCCTTTAAAGATCGTAAGCTAGCAAGACCTGTTACTAATAAAAACATATATTAGCGACGTAGTTTGATATAATATTTTTAAACAAGTTATTTAAACACTTCAATATGAAGGAACAGCGCGTAACACGATGTTCGAAACTTTACGGGTTCGTACTTCGGTCATTATTGGGTTACGGTTAATGAAGTTTAAATTGCTATACGATGAAGTGAAGCTGCAATGTATATAAACGCTTATACACTTACACCTCGTTTTATAGACGGAGGAAACACAAATATTGTTGATCGAGTTTACTTAACGCGACCGATATCTAGATACACATTATGGGAGAATGTATATCAAGATTTCGTGACGCAAGATGTAAACAGAAAAGAGAGAGCAGCGCTAGAATTTTTTCGTTGACCTGGAAGATGTTACGTTGGTGATTGTATAGAAGTATTTCATAATAAAATATCGCTCCTTCTAAATAACTATCTATACATACTATACGATAACGATTATGAGATACTATCGAAACAGACTTTGATGGATGCATACAAGTACGGAAGTACGGAACAGTAACTTGATGTTAAGTGTAATGTTACGATAATCAGTATATTTATAAGTAGTTTTTTATCTTACCTTTTTTTAACTACCTTCCATTATTCAAGAACGTTTTTCGAAACATCTCCAAGTTAATTAAGATTATTAATGATAGAAAACGAGAATGCGCTAAATGAAATATTGTATATTGATATGTATTGGTGAACAGGGAATGAAATTTTCGAATTTACTGCGTTCTCTCGTTTTGCGATAGTTCTTTTCAGTAAGCCGTGCGCAATTTTGTAATCGCGCGGCTCTTTAAATTTCTTGTGTTTTAATCAACTTTTTATTTAAGTAAATGGTTATTCTGGTAAAAAGCGAATCTTACAAATCTATTCTTTTTTTTTCACATATATTCACGTAAGGTCGTAATTCTATGTAATGTAATTTGTCAGACTAAGAAAAGAACGTTGTAAAAAACTTGTAAAATTTTTTACACATGAATTGTACAATTGTAATTCAATGATCTATAATTAACGCGTGCTCTATTCAAAAATCATAGCACACACACATTTCGTACATCTTATCCCAAAGAAACACGGTGTAGCATTTCCTCTATAATAAACGTTATGTCGTCGACAATTGTTCGCGCACGTTATTTCTGCTCGCTGTTCGATGAAATGCAACGCATCCGTTGTTGAACGTTAGATCCCCCGTTCTGTTTTGTGTCCTGTAAATAATAGGAACCGTTTTCTCCTGTCTTCAACTATATTAAAATCCTCCCTCACGATTTCTCATCAACGTCTCGTTTATCAGGGTACATTTATACGTGATAGTTTACAGTATACTGCACCCGGTACAGAGTTAGAAGCAATTTTGAACGAACCTGGAAATGTTAAATTATTTCCAAGTAAAATGTTCCTAAATCTGTACAGGATGTGAAATTCTCTTATATTTACAATTACGTTTAAGAGCGAGTGACAACAAACGAGAAAGGATACAAATATGTATTGTTAATCAATATAGTATCGTACTTAGAAGATTCTATCATACATATATACATGAAGCATGTCTATTTACTTCTGCGATCACTTTTCGGACGATACACTGTGCAACATCATTCTGATACATTTCAGACTTCTTCGTTTTCACGAGACGATCAATGGAATGACAATGGATGTAACGCGTTTAATTTTTCCCTATCGATTTCACCTGACCGCAAGCCTAAATGTTATTCTTACACACACTCCCCCCTGTAAACGTGGTAACTTCAACATCCACTCTGTACCTTGCAAATAAAACGAAAATTAAAATAAGTTTTATTGTCCTTAAACATTATCATATTTCATAAATATTGTACAGAAATCTTTCGGATTGTAGAGATCAGACAGGTGAACAGGGAATGAAATTTTCGAATTTACTGCGTTCTCTCGTTTTGCGATAGTTCTTTTCAGTAAGCCGTGCGCAATTTTGTAATCGCGCGGCTCTTTAAATTTCTTGTGTTTTAATCAACTTTTTATTTAAGTAAATGGTTATTCTGGTAAAAAGCGAATCTTACAAATCTATTCTTTTTTTTTCACATATATTCACGTAAGGTCGTAATTCTATGTAATGTAATTTGTCAGACTAAGAAAAGAACGTTGTAAAAAACTTGTAAAATTTTTTACACATGAATTGTACAATTGTAATTCAATGATCTATAATTAACGCGTGCTCTATTCAAAAATCATAGCACACACACATTTCGTACATCTTATCCCAAAGAAACACGGTGTAGCATTTCCTCTATAATAAACGTTATGTCGTCGACAATTGTTCGCGCACGTTATTTCTGCTCGCTGTTCGATGAAATGCAACGCATCCGTTGTTGAACGTTAGATCCCCCGTTCTGTTTTGTGTCCTGTAAATAATAGGAACCGTTTTCTCCTGTCTTCAACTATATTAAAATCCTCCCTCACGATTTCTCATCAACGTCTCGTTTATCAGGGTACATTTATACGTGATAGTTTACAGTATACTGCACCCGGTACAGAGTTAGAAGCAATTTTGAACGAACCTGGAAATGTTAAATTATTTCCAAGTAAAATGTTCCTAAATCTGTACAGGATGTGAAATTCTCTTATATTTACAATTACGTTTAAGAGCGAGTGACAACAAACGAGAAAGGATACAAATATGTATTGTTAATCAATATAGTATCGTACTTAGAAGATTCTATCATACATATATACATGAAGCATGTCTATTTACTTCTGCGATCACTTTTCGGACGATACACTGTGCAACATCATTCTGATACATTTCAGACTTCTTCGTTTTCACGAGACGATCAATGGAATGACAATGGATGTAACGCGTTTAATTTTTCCCTATCGATTTCACCTGACCGCAAGCCTAAATGTTATTCTTACACACACTCCCCCCTGTAAACGTGGTAACTTCAACATCCACTCTGTACCTTGCAAATAAAACGAAAATTAAAATAAGTTTTATTGTCCTTAAACATTATCATATTTCATAAATATTGTACAGAAATCTTTCGGATTGTAGAGATCAGACTGTATAAAACTCCTGGAGGAGACTATAATCAGGAATGAGATAACAAATAGATTTATTGCTCGTTTACCGGAGAAGCTGGTTTAAAAACTTTGCGAAGAATCAATTATTCCCATTTCAGATTAAACTCCCAAAGTATTTAATGTTCAAATAAAAGTTCTAGAAATCTATAAACGGGAATGAATGAAATTCTTCGATTTAACAAGTGGGCTCCATAGGAGGTGGCATTTTAGGTCGACCGAACCCGCGCGTTCCATCCGGACCCGATGGCATCCGAGTCACGTTTTCCGGTAAATGCGTCAAAGTGATACCACTGTTGCTCCTCGAGCGACAGTAGCCGCTCTGTTCCGAACCGGAGGAGCACATCGACAGTCTCCTGGGGCCCATGTCGAAGCCGGAGTCGCGACTGCACGAGGAGAGTCTCCTCAAATACGGTCCGTACTCTGCGGACCCGCGGCGACTAGAGGAATGATAGCAAGCACCGTTGCACTCGGAACTGGACGTTGAGCAACACGAGAAACGGCGATTATCTTGATAGTAGCAACTCGGTGGGAAGACTGGGTAGCAATATCCGGTTTCAGAGCCTGACGAGCAGGCGGAGTAACGTCTGCCGAAGTTGCTGGTCTCCGAACTGGAACCGGAACCGGAACAGGAAGACAGGCGACGGAGGACGAAACCGTTTTCGGAGCCTGAGACCGAACAGGCGGACAATCGGCGCGACAACCACGCGTCAGGTGACGGAGGTCCTATAAAAGAATTAATAAGTCAAACTACGCACGGATCGAATTAAAATTTTTGTTAAGAGCGTTGCCCTTGAAGGAACATCTTAGGGAAGAAATACGTTCTATACTTCAACATAGTGATTCGAGATACGACGGGAGATGCTAATGCGAAATAATAAAAAGTGTACCTTGGAACGCATGGCCCGGATAACCGTGGTATATCGGATAACCGTGAACGGGTTTCTTATGCCTGGCCCTTCCATCTTCGGGCTCGGAACCGCTCGGGCAGCTCGAGGTATTGTAAGCTTCCTCTTTGGTCAGTCTCGTCACAGCATTTTTCTTTGCCGGTTGTTGTTTCCTCTTCTTCTCGCCGGATTGTTGCAACTCAAACACCTTGGCATCGCCCAAGGTCATTTGCAAGGCAGTACGAGCCGACGCTGAATCCGTGAACTCGACCATGGCGCACTCCTCGCACGAGGCTAATTCTGGCCTCTTGGAAATCGCTTGTCGCACCTTATTATTAAATAAATTTTATTCATTGCACTCAATGATTCTTTACAGAAGGAATTATTATAATTATATTTGTTAATAGATTTTGGAATCTCGTTTACCTCAGCCGGTGCAGGGTGTCCAGGTCGAAGCACCCTGATGAGAGCGATTTCTCCGCAGGGCCTGAAGATCTCAGCGACGGATTCAACCGACAGTTTTGCCACAGGAAGCTTCGCCGCGATGATCGTCCTCGACGGTGTAGTCTGATCGAACGGTGGCAAAGGATCGACCCTACGTAATTTAGTCCCCTGCGGATTCACTTCAAGCTTCTTCGACCGCGCCAAAGCCGCCCCAACGACCCGCCAATCTCTGCTCAAGTGTTTCACTCTCTTGAAACTCGATATGAGTTTCAGCGATACGTAGCCCTCCTTGTTTCTCTTCACGTGCTTCAGAAGGAAAGCATCCTTCACGATGTTCTCATCGGAGAAGTAGAATTCTACTTGGGTGCAAATCTTGTCGGCCAGTTCGTCGCTCGGTGGAACAAAATCGTCTTGATTATCCTTGGCTTCGGTTATTTCCTGTCTCGGATCCTTAGAATCTTTAGTATCCTCGAACGAGTCGGCTCCTGAATCCTGATCGGTATTCTTCTGCCGTTCGGTAATCCCACTCACTTTTCTGTCAGTGTCAGAACTCGCACTGTCCGATAGATCGGCCTCCTCTCCCTTGGAGCCTCTCCGGTCGAAGGAGAGGCTCACGTCGCTGTCCACGGATGAAATGCTGTCCCTCGTGTCGGATTTCTTCATCGGCGGCGGCGGGAAGATCAAGCTGCCCACTTGGTCCCTCGACTCTTGTCGAACTACTTCGTCCACTTCATCCATGCTTGGTTCAATTCCGAACGAGTGTGCGAAGTTTCTATTTCTGATGGACAACACGATGATCTCGTATCAGTCCATCAGGAAATTGAATCGCCGCTTCTCAGAAATGCTTAGAACGTCAGGGACCAGTAAACGATCATGACACGGTTTCGCCACGGTAATTCAACTTGCAGTTTGAAAAGGCTAAATCTCCACTAACTAAAAAAATGTTTGTTCGCACGGTCTCGTAGTCGGATTCTTGTGAAATCACTAGTGTCACTCGTCGAAACGAAGACGCTGATCGATTTGATTCCCGAGAAGCCGTCGACAATCCTTTTATGTCTATCTTCCCCCCAAAATGATCGCGAACGGTGATCTCTTCCTGTTTGTCGGTGGTCTGACGCCTTCGCCGGTGCCCAATCGAATCTACAGAAACAGGCCAGCGGGTCTATTAAACGAACTCGATGGCACACGGTCCTTGGAGAGGGAGAACGCGGAGGACGAACGGATCCCGAAGAGGGGAGGAGAGAAGGGGTTGTACGGGGACCACGAAGAAGAGTATGTATGCGAAAAGCGCGGTTTTCCCGCTCTCGTTGGGAACGCGTGCCCGTTCACCTCGGACGGGGAGGGAAGTGGGAGACTTGCGCGATTCGTGACAGTTCGGGGAACAGTGGCCTTCCCGAAGGCGCGTCCACGTCTTTTTAAATACTTTCGCCCGGTCGCGCATGCGTGCGAATAGAACTCACCCTGAGGTCGTGACCTTCCTAAATACCGGTCAAGAGTAACACATGGATCATTGGGAAAGTGAGGGGTAAGACAGGATCGATCGATCGATCGATGCGTTTTACCACCGATCACGATGAGATGAAGGGAATTGTTATCAGATAATGTAGAAAATGTGGTTAACTCAAGTGGAAAGCAGCTCGTCACGAGTGATTGATACTTTCATTCAAGTCTTACGCGCGATACGAACTCGGCGAGGACTCGGTGATTGTCTACGTGAGTCGCGGAAGCTGGCGACGACTATTACAGGAAGGAAGGACTTCTTTATGGTGGTGGTGAACCTTGGTGACCTCGACGGCGAGACCCGCCAGGCTTATTCACGAACGCTTCGCATTGCATCCGGACGCTACCAGCATAATAAGATATAGGTCAAGTGCGGCTGGTACCATGTATGGCCGTACCCGTGCCGAGGAAGGACAAAGTTATATACGCAGGTTATCGATGCCGAATCGAAAGGGCTCGTTCTCTTTACCTTTATTTTTGCCGCCTCCTTGTCTGTCCCGACCGCCGCTTGTCACGTGAAACCCAACTCCCAAAGGTTGTTCTGGCTGTGAGGTAAGACACAAGTTCGAAATTTTACAAATAAATAATTAACTCATATGGAAAATTTGAGACTGAGACTATCGAGAATTTAACTTTTTAATTACGATACTTACATTAGATGATAAAAGAAATTTTTATATAAAATGCATTTATTTATTTTTCAGCCTAGTTAGAATTTATTTGATTTGCGGAAAAGCTGTTCGATTTACATTTACCGCTAATTAGTAAACTACCAAATCGGTATCGATGAATCACCGGAATCTAATTAATGGTTCTCCGAACCGGTCATGAATATTAATCGAAAGTCCTGTACCTTTTCTTCGCCCACTTACGATCAGTTATATCATTTAATCGTAACGCGATCAATTACAATTACGTAATTGTATTATAATACACGTTCTGTATTTAAATATTATCGAACAACTTGTTTTCCTGACTCTTAAGAAAGATAAGGAAGATGTATCGACGGTATTAACCCAAGGCGAGAAATTAGATTAAGATTTACGTAAAAGTATTTGCTACTATAGCGTGTAACCCTCTTAGGTATGGCTTCGCGTATTGCGTAAGTTGTTCCTTTTCAGATTGTTCAACCAACGCCCTTTCCTTCGGACCACACGTACGATGATTGTCAAGTAACACTAAGTTCATAAATAAGCCGCGTGTTCCACCGGTTTATAAAAAAATTTGATCTGCGGAAAACATAGAGAATATCTGTAACACTTGCAAGAATGAAAGAAGTCTCAATTTAGTGTTTTCAAATTAACGTCACAAAAATATTTTGCATAAAAATCGACGGTGAAGTTTTTTTACCAGGTTTTAGGCTGATCATCTTGTTTGCGGCTGTACGATTACAATATCGCGTAAAGTTTCTTAAGTCTCGGTTCATGACTGGTTTCTACACATGCTCTCTCATCTCTTTTCATAATTCAATACACCGCATTACGTTACCTCAGATTAACGATTAGCGATCATCGATCGCGTAGTCCGGCTGTAAAGAAAAAAAATAGAATCCCATGAGCTGATTCAAATTCAGCGTATGAACGGCTGTATTTAGTACTCGATGCGTGGTTCAAGTATTCAATAACCCTGAGGCGATATTTCAAAAGACAACCTTTTAAAACGGCAGTAACCATAAGTAGAATGCAGAAAACCCGTCGGGAACAATATCGTTTAAGGACGATGAGTTACGTCTATATTGTCATGGAAATAGTACGTACATCGTATTTATCGTACGTTACATAATTCTTAAAGGCTTCATCTACATTATTTTAACGCGGAGTCCTTTCACGAAATTCACTCTCACTTTTCACCTGGGGGGCATCCGTCGACGTTCTATCGCCCGAGGCGATTATTTTGGCAGCGTGTAATATAAGATTAAATCTGAATAGACAAAACCAGTTCATGAAAAGTTGCAGGACTATTGTTTATTATTCATGGTACATTAACATAGTATATAGCATAGTATAGTATTAATATTCTAAATTGTCTTGTACACTATATGCGGCACTCCTTATGTCTGCACGTTCAGTTTTCTTATAATTATATAAAGATCAGTGGTCTATTTATTATTATTTGTAATAACAAATTTTCCTCTACGATTGTCGGCAAGTGTCGCGTTGCAGATTAATTATCCCTGATTAGTCGATTCAAAGAGAAACCGGGACGCGAACATTTATAATCGCGGATCTACCGAGGCCTCTAGGAAGGATCTTAGATCTATTCTATTTTACGCCGTGTCCTTGTCGTTGCTGATACTTTTAAAATAGCAAGGCCCATTCTTGTCCGGTGAATTCTCTCAATCTGAATTCTAGAAGGGAACGCGTGACGGTGTCACGTTGTCCCTTACAAATAATGTACGTGAGATTTGTTCGAATTTATAAACGTCTCAACATAAACGTCGGACATGGAATATTTAAAGAACTGTAAAACGAATCTTATACTTATATACATTGGATGTAATCGAATAAATAAAATCCAATGAGCGATAAAAAGGCGAAGGTGAGAAGCCTAATAAAAAATTAATCCGAGTTTTTATTAGATTTCATACCTCTCTCGATTATCCGATACTTACTATGCTGTAATAGAAAAAAACTTCAAATTAAGATCGACTCGATCAATGGTAATAGCAATAATCCAAGGTACGTGACGTTAATAAATGTCAAGGTAACACCAACTTCTTCTTCTCTTGTTAAAAGTACTTCAATTTTTAGCGTGCATCGTAACTTTCTTTCAGGGAATCCGATCTATAAAAGATCAAAAGGGAAAGAGAATAGGCATTGTGCTTGTGATCGCCAGCCTTCGAGTGGAATGAATTTTCATGAAAAAAACCGATGCGAACATTCTCATTCGCGTAATCCTTTCATCGACACGCTTAATTAATTGACGTAATTCATTACTATCGATGAACCGATACTCGTTTTCCCTATCGTACATCTGCATACCGTCGCTCATTGTAAAAATTGTACGCGTATGGCGATATAAGAAAAGAATTAAATGAATGCAATTATCGGAACGATATGCAATAGAATTGAAATGAAATGGAAACATTAACAAATCGTTCATTATTTGCAGAACGCTGTGTATTGAGATAGAAGAATCTGGACGAGGATACCCTACGGTTCGCCAATGTAATTTCCCGGCGATGCATAGGGCGGCGATTCCCTGAGGCGATTCTCGTTGTTCGACGTCTTGTTCTCTTCACTGGAGACGGGAGCAGAACTCGAACTGGGTCAGGGCAGCGCGCCAAATGGTTGGATCAATTTTATTTTAAATTTATCAAGTCCGCTTCGGCGCTGCACGGACACGCGTGATCAGTTCGGATTTCCAGATCGATTAAAAATGGTACCTTCGTAAAAAAAATCGCTCATTGGCTTCAATCCCCGTTTTAACATATCTCGTATAATTTGATTTTCAGAAATAATTTTTTTATTCGAATGTTTTATGGTACTGTAAATTATTTATAGACAAACGTTAATCGTTTTTATTGGAAATTGGGATTGCATGCGATTAAAAACAGCGGTGTATCATTTCAATGTTACGTTATAACAAGTTGCGAGAGGAAATCGCGTAATATGAATATCGCACCTGCGGACTGGGAGACCAGGGATCTTCCACTGTCCTTCCTCCTCCTCTTCTACATCCCCGACGCGATTGTTCTTGAACGCGATGCGATTTAATTGTGTATTTTTTCTCTCATTGTTCGACCGCGATTACTCGTTTAATTATCATCGGCAATCATTTCGACAATTGACAATAAACTACAAACACGATATTTAAAGAATCGAAGTAAAATGACGAGTCTCGTTGTTCACTTCATGCTTAAATTCATATAGTGATTGCGTACGCTCTTAGAAAACAATGGTTCTCGTGTATCATCACGCATATTAAATAGAGAAAATCTGTGTAACACGTGGAACAGCCGAGGAGTGGAGAACCACTGAAACTGTGTGACTCAGGCAGAGTAAGGTCCAGTATAAGGCCCTGGGGTGATTCGCCTAGACGGCCATGACCATATTACAGGCCAGAGGCCTCCGCGCCAGCCGCTAAACTTACTTCCAGTAACAATTGGTGAAATCATTGCCGGTACTTCGTTACTCGCGGAGCTCGTAGACAAATTAGTTCCTGCGATTATTTAGCTCCGTAAACGTATTTATACGTCGTGAAGTATGAAAAGGGTATTCGTGATATAATATTTATTTACACACGCTGGTGCTTATAATTAAATTTACAATTATTATAAATGTACATAAAATCTCAGCCGTCCAGAATTTATCGTCAACGATATTGCGGACAGTGTTGTTTTATAATCGACCTCGAGATATCCGCGTGTCCTGTCGCACAAAAATAAAGAATCGTTATTTAATAGTCTTGATACCACTTACGATTGAAAATGATTGTCATCCATACCTAATTGTAACTCTATGTACAAAGCTAACATTATTACGTGTATGGGAAGATCGCAATCAGGGCCCTTCGACATCCAAACCTGAAACGGGCATTAATAAGCGTTAATTAGAACGTATATAATAAAAATGAACAACTTCCCCCTTACCTGTTTCAAAGTTTCTCCGGATTTATCGAGTTCGCCACGAATCGCGTAAGCAACGGCTAAATTGTAGCGGAGTACGGCGATACCCGTGGGAACCGTCGTTGGGTACCACACTATAAAACGATTAGTACAACGTTTATCAAAATACAATGCAATCGGAGGATAAAATAATACGAGTGGTGATTCTTACTTTTTATAGGCTTCGAAATGACCTCATCGGTCTTTTCTTTTTCCTTATCCTGAGTTTCAGGAATAGGCATGCAAGTATTCAGATCCGGAATATTCTCCGGTTTCAGATATACAATTGCTTCATTGATCTTATCCATAAATATCAAACTTTCGGCTGCATAAAGGTTTCCCAGCATCCTATACGCGCCGGGTAGTTTATGGATTGCCAGCAATGCTTGCGAGTGTTCGAGCGCGATCATGTAATCGCCGAGGCACAAACACACGTAAGCGCTCGCAGCTAATACGCTGATCTTTAGATTCAACGCTTCGACGGATGTAGCTTGCGACATTAAAGTCGAATACTGAGCGCCTGAAACATTTTTTAAACACTAGGTTTATAATCGAACTAATTAGATTCTCGTGTCCATATATAAAATACCTAAATTATGTCCACCTGTTAGTGTTAAAGGTACGGTTTGTGCACCACTCATCATCGGCACGTTAAATTCGTTATTATTCGGTAGTAGAAATAAAGCGTTCTTCAGACACAAGTATGCGAATTCTAATGTCAATTGCGGTATGGCGGAAGGAAAACCTTCGGGATGATATTTCACTTCCTTTGACAAGGAAGAGGCCAAAATAATTTTTCTATTTATACCAGTACCGACGACTTTCTGTACCAAATCTTTTCTCCGCTTTGGTATATTAAAGTCAACCTCGTTCGCCTGAGAATCGTAGAGAATATCATCTAATTCTTTAAACATATTGTAGCTATTACGAGCGCGCTTACGGGTTTGTGATTATATATACAGCATTCAGCGATTCTCAGCCACAATTTAGGATCATTGTGAAGTTTTTGCGCAGCTTCCATGAAGCAATCGAATGCTACTGACGCCTGACCAGCGTGCAGTAACGACACACCTAAGCTATACATCAATTCATAATGCTTATTCCCACCAAGCGTGTATAATGGTTGCGATGACAAAGGATCTACATAAAAACAGATATTTTAGAATCATTGCTTTAAATATTAATTCGTAAACGAAATATTGTTTATAATCGAATTACCGGTGTCTTTCGCTTGGACACTTTCTAACGAAGACTTGTTTTCGTGTAATGCTTTCCTCAAGTAAAAACACGCCAAATTTGGTTTGCCCATGGCAAGATGTATACATGCCATATTGTTATAGTACAATACAGCAGAAGATTCTCCACAAGTCCTGCAGAAAGTACACGTTTACAGTGATTATATATATATTTATAATATTAAACATACTTGAAATCTAAATTCTCCGATGTTACAGAGTTCAGCAGTTTAACAGCTTTCTTATAATTTCCTCTTAAGTACTCAAGATTGGCTTTTAAATAAATAGTTGATATATTCTGAAAACATGAAATTCCAATTATTAAAATACAGAATTAAGTACACAGTGTATATATATAAAACAAATGTATCTTACTGCAGGTGTACCCAAAGAGACCAACGTTTTCCATTCTCTTTTGCACAGTTTCAGTTGATGGGTCATAAGGTATATTCTAGCTTTACATTTCAACAGTTTTATTTTGAACGCATCTGTAGCAGTGTCTACTTCCTTCTTAGGTTCCTTCTGCTCTTTTATAGATTTTATTACACCCTCTTTATCAACAGGTGAAATCTTAGAATTGTCTGTAGATACGAGCTGACTTTCTATGTAATTGATTAAAGACAACGCTGCATCTGGCTGTTCTGTAGCTATATGTAGTTCTATTAGAAGAAGGCACACTTTATGTGCCAATGATTCCTCTGAAAAAAAGTAATACACATGAAATCTGATACTAGATTACTTCGTAGTATTATGGAATTCGTTAATGTGCCACGTACCCATCGGTTCGATGAATGCAAATAATCTATTTATTATTTGAAGAGAAGCATTGTACTGCTTCATGTGATACAATAATACTGCCTGATTATACCTCATAACACATTTCTCGATATCATCTATGGTCTCAGTTGAGTCAGTTGTACACATTTGGCCACATATTGCGTTCAAACTTTTCCTCAGTAGCTCTGTCTTTTTCAAATCATTTTTATAACATTCCACGACAACTTTATTGTGCATCACTTTTAAATCCTTCGGCCTGAGGGTCTCCAATTTGTTTAAATGCGATAAACAACTCCCGTACGATCCTTTTTGAAATTCGGACAGTGCGCTTTGAGCCAGTTCACGTTCCTGCTCTGTTATCACCGCAGGACCGATATCCTTACTTTGCGCTTCGGACGTTTCCCCCATTTTCATTTAACACGATAACATTAACCAGGTTTTAACTACGTTTTAAATGTGTTTCAACACTCAAGGATACTTCGTGGATATTTCAAAACTGTGAAATATAGGTTAACGTCGTATCATGATTTTACGAAGATTCTTATTCTCAATAAAGAATTCATTATTTGTATAATCAGTATCGAAACAATCGTTAACGATAATTTTTACGTAGCTGAACTATTCACAATTTTCTTAAAATCATAAGACAAAGTATAAAGACTAATTCTACATTGTATGACTACAACTGGCTGCTGAGATTGATCATTGGCAGACAACAGATTTTATGTGTTTCATTTCGCATGAAAATCCGTTGTTTACGTATCGGCCAGGAACACAAAGAATGATTTTCTCGAACGCGTAATTTTATTTTACTTATTTTCATAGCTGAAAACACAATTTCATATTCTTCTCCATTCTTAAAGTGAAGAACGATCCCAAAACATCTTGATCTTGAAATACCGGCATGTTGACGTAAATGCAACAATGCAACGAAGTATATTATTTAATAATCAATATAATAGCAGATCAGCTTTTAATCTGAAGTGATCGTCTACCTGTTAACTCGTTCGACAATCAACAAGTTGATAAATCTTTTCTCTAATTGATTCGTATTTAAAAATCCAATGAGGATAATGTTATAATGAAATCATTATGTTCGATGAATCCTGTTCGTCAATTTCAAATATACAATGCAATGCATATATGTGATATCTCTAAACATTAAATTGCATTAGAATCTTCAATAAATTTACGTGGGATCGTACAATAGTGCAAAGACTGATATGGCTACGTGAAAATCCATGTATGTAACAAGCGCTTTAGGTTAAGTTAGGTTTCGAAGAAGAGAAATAACGTCGAAAGTGCGAAAATCAGTAATCGGAAATGTCACACCATCCACTTGAGAGTGTGGTAAGGTTTTTGAAAGAAAGAAACATTGAAAATTGTATTTTAATAAATATTATTTATAGCAGTTTTGGAACTTTCAGGACGATGCAATGTTACACAGTTTATCGGTAGGAAATTTCAATCACTTACAAGAGTGTGTAAACAGGCTTGAATCTAAGGACACAAGAATGGACAGAGAGAAATCTACCGATTTAACAGAGAAAGATAATGTGGAGAATGAGAATAATAATTCTGAAAATAAGTTTATGATAACGGCTGCTCAGAACAGAATTAAAACGTGTAGTCAATGTTCGATGACGTTCCGATATAAAAGGCATTTGGATCGACATTTGGAAGGCCATCAGAAAAATAATTGTTCTCATTGCAATGCAAAATTCGCTAGGCGCAAACACCTTGATATACATCTGTTTCGTTCGCACGGGGAGAAAGTAACGAAATATCCGCACTCATGCGACGTATGCTCCCGTAGCTTCCCCAGACGTATTTTATTAAATCGTCATCGCGCGAAGCACAACTACGAAAATGGCAAGGTTTGTTCGGACTGCGGGGAAATGTTAAAAATGGAGGAAGACGATAAAGCACACAAAGAGAATCATTGCGCGAAGAAGCAATTTAAGTGTAAAATATGTTTACAAACATTTAGCATCGAACAAACGTATCTGATTCATATCCAAAATCATGACAATCATAAATGTCCGAAATGTGATGTCACCTTTGCTTCGAAAAAGAAAGTACAAGAACATTACAGAATGATGCATTCTGCAAAATTGAACAAGATATCGAACAATGGTGCTGAATGCAGACATTCTTTCCTAAAGAAGGATGATTATCCTCGTCATTTAGATTCTACTTCGCATCTGAATAAAACGCACGGAGAATCTTTGTTGAAAGATAGTTTCACTTGCTCCATTTGTTCGAAGAAATTAATTTCTCAAAGGGCACTCGACCAGCACGTTAGACGTATACATAAAGGAGAGAAGAGATTCGCATGTAATATATATGGTTGTACATTTCAATGTGCGAGAAAATCCGATCTAGGTAGACACAAACAGTTACATGTGGAACAACGAAATGTTATATGCGAACAGTGTGGTAAAACTTTTACCAGCGTCAGTATTCTTAACGATCACGTTCTTTATATACACAGTAAAGAAAGACAGTTCATATGCGAGGAATGTGGGAAAGCGTTCAAACGAAACAGTTTGTTAAAAAGACACAAACTTTCTCATCAACAACATCGACCGTTCGCCTGTATGCAATGCGGTACAGCTTTTAAAAGGTCGCATCATCTTACTCGACATCTGGAAACTTGTCATAGGATTACCCTTGAGAAAAAAAAGAAGGTAAAAGGTTTATTAACATCTTCTGATTTGTTCGTATCGTTAATTGAATGAAATACTGTATTTTGGCAGGTAGTCAAATTTATGAGAACGGAAGATGGCCACCTTGTCCCAATTCCAGACAAACCAAAAAAACTGAAGTCCACAAAAATGAAAATCAAAGCAGAATCTAATAAAAGTTCCGCGTCGGATGATAAAATTATGCCTCTTCAAAATACGAATATTATGAGCAAACATTTCGATTCAGGTTTGGAAGTGCAAACGCTGCCTAATTCTGATGACCTGTGCGAAAATCCAACGTTATCGTCGTCGTCGTCGTCAGAACTTATAAATTTATTGTCCAATGCAGATTCCGTTCCTCAGGTTCTTTCACTAGTCGATATTAACGCTGAGCAAATTGTGACCGTCGAAGTTACGAATCCAAAAACGTTGACAATGAACGACATTATAGATCAGTTCGAAACGAATTGTAATGAGATACTGAATTTGTCTAATTATCAAGATTTAGAGTTTCAACATGAGATGTTGAGTACCGATCAATTGTACGATCAAACGAATTATTCCGAATTATCATTAGGAACCGTCGAGGGAACATCGCTTTTCGTTGATCCAAATATTAACAAAGTGGACACGTTGCAAATAGAAAATTATCTGAATCAATCGTTCCCGACATTTCTCAATCTGTAATCGGAATTTTAAGAGGGACATTCACTTGAACGTGATATATTTTGTAATACCTAAACGGGTTTTGTCCGTATTTGTGCATTTAGTAAAATACGATGATTGTATAGTAATTTTTCTAGATTTTTATTTATAAATGTTTATAAGAAATTTTACACAAAACAGTTTAAAATATCTGTAGTACTACAGTTTATAGAATATTAGAATTGCCTTAGTTTGGACGTTGCCTTTCGTTTCGGTTGATTTGCAAATATTTTTCACGAAACAAATCTGTACAGGACTACACCTAAAATCGCTGCAGTTGCTCCGCCGATTAAGCTCCATGTAAGTTTCGAGGTGCTTTTACTTTTAATTTCCTTGTTCCTATTTTTGGGTAAGGTATTGTCACTTTTATGCGTGCCTAACATTTTACGATACAAATGTTTCTCGTGTTGAGCATCCTTGGCATTCTTTTCTTTCAAAATAGCCAATTCCGATTGGATAGCTTTCGTGTCCGGTTCCAATTTCGATGCTTGTAGCAACGTTTGGTAAGCCAACCCGTGCTCTCCTTTATAGTGCAAAATTTTTCCTAAAAATGTGCAAGTTCAGTTATACACAGAACGTAAAATAATGCGTGTACATCATTACCTTTCCTAAACAATGCTTTCACGTTTTGTGGCTGACAACTTAAAACGCTTTCTACACTCTTCAAAGCTGCATCATAAGCTTGCGTTTTCATTTGCGCAGCAGCTAAGTTATTGTACACTTTCATACGGTCCTCTAGTAAAGATTGCAATTCTGCATCGGTGATATTGTCTTCTACCTCATTCTGATGACCAGAACGACTTTCCGACGGCATCAAATATTCCAGTGCTCTCCGGTAACACTGAATCGCAAGTGTCGGTTCATTACGAGTAAACCACCAATTTCCACGCTCCCGTTTCTTATTACTTTAAACAAACAGAAGATATGTAGTTCAAGATTAAACTGGTATCATTAAGTAGAAATAAAAATTACCCGATCTCTTTACGCTGACTGACGGTGAGCGTTTCTATTTCTTCCTCCATTTCACTGGATTTTAATTCGACCGTGTATGTAATCGTGGAACTGGCTGGAATATTTGGTTCGTCTCCTAAAGAGCCATAAGCGAATCGCGGGTCAACTACAATTTCAGCAATCTCTTCAACATCCATTAATGCGATTGCCAGGTCTAATCCCTATAATTGAACATCTATTATGTTAAGCAGCAATGATTTATTAAAGCAGTCGCACATAAATATTTTAAAATACCTGAATCACTTCAACATCACCCAATTGAATTTTAAGGTTTTTATATTCTTCAACCTTCGTGCCATCTTGTAATTTTCCAATGATGTCCAATATGCAAATGTCAGACCTATTTGGTCTCGTTCCATTTTTTCCTTGTTTTATTACTTTTTTCTTCAATTGGCCATTTCCTAGGATGTCTATCCACTCTTCGGGTGGATGTTCGTTTAATGCAGCTTTTGTCAGTGGCTCTTCTGGGTCTATGTCAAAGTTCAAGTCTTGTTTAATGAAATCAGCTTGTGATGCTCCAGGTTGAACAGGTTCTTCTTCCATCTTCAACAAATTTTCGTAAAATTAAGATCTGTTTCAATGCAAAACAAAGTTCTGATTAAAAAACTTGTATAAATAATTCATATTATGTTAATAAACGTGGGACTAATTTTATTGTGAATGAGAACGAAAGTGTAAATTGACAAATTGTTCGATGATGATTTTTAATATACAATACCAAATGAGTCATTATTATTCAAAACCGTGACTGCTATTGATCACACGTGGGGTGTGTTACACGGTAAAATAGAAAATTTCGATTTTTACATTATTTGATAAATCAACAAATGGGATGAATATGTAATAGACAGCGGAAAAATGCACACTCATTTGATAATCGAAAAAATTTGGAGTAGGATCAACGTTATCGTTTCGACTGGGACATAATACAGTCAGTTATTTAAAAACGATCATCAACCAGAGATGCAGACCTCTTTATTTTCCGAAGTTTCAATTGCCATCAAAAACGAAACGAAACGCAATGTAACGTCCAACTGGTCCAACTTGTGATGTTTATTTGCAGAACACGCGACACCGGTTGACTTCACTTACTACTTGAAATCAGCAATAGTACAGCTAGGAACAACGAAACCGAGCCAGCTATGTGCATGTGTTAGTTTCCCCTAGAGGACAAAATTCAAAACGGGTGTTAATAAGTGTACGTCTTATCTTTCAATGCTCGATCAGGCGTTTATAGAATTGTGGTCGATACTGTTTGACACGTCAAAATGAAAACAATTTTAACCTACGTCTGGAT